TGCGGCCCCGCCCGCCCTGCATATCGACTCGCCCGCCGCTGCCCTCCACTCCACTCCACTCCACTCCCCCTCGCGCCCGCGCCTACGCCTACACCCCCCGCCCGCCCGGGCCCCAGCCGGCCCTTCCGTTTCGCCTCAGTCCTTCCCAGATCAAACGGCTTGGGGCGTTCCGCAGCGGAACGGATACTCCTGTTCGCTGCGTCTGTTTCGATGTTCGCGTCGCTCGTTCGTCATGTCGGTCGTCTGTCTGTCTGTCTATCTATCTGCCGCCCCTATTCCTCGAGCTTTTTATCCCTCCCCCTTTCCTTCGCAGCTCGGCAGATAGTTCCAAGTCCATGCCTTTAGCCTTCTCACTTCGCCACAGGGTGCCAAATCGTAACTCATTAGCGCAAACTGCTCTCGAATAATCCAAAAACGAAAAAAAAATTCGCACTCAACATGCCCCCGAGAGGAAAGGATCTTTGGTCCGCTTCTTTAAAATAGGGCTGTTAATGCAAGGTTTTGACCCAGGTAAAGTGTTGATGTGGTTAAAATAGAGCGATTTTCAACCGCAGCCGTTTCCACCTCACACTGCTACTAGCGCAAACAACACACGCGACGCACGCCACAACAACGTGGGGCGTGCGCCGCCTGCGCGGTGCGGAGCGCCGGGCGTGCGAGGCAGGGTGTGCGTTTTAAGCGCTCTCTGTCTGCGGAGGCGCGAGGCTGGTCGTGCGCGGAGAGCGAGCAAGCAAAGCGTCGCCGCCACACGCCACGCCATCCCAGCGCTCGTGTCGAGAGCTCCATTTAAAACGGCCATCGGCGGTTTTTAAACGGACAGCGGCCGCCTTGAGAGGTCGCTGGCCCGCGCACTGTGCGCGGCGCCGGCGCGGTCCTGTCGCGCGCGGGTGCGGAAAACCGGATGTTGGGCGGGCGTGAGGTTGCGGCGGGGCAGGCAAAAGCGAAGAGTGAGGACAAGGAAGGACAAGAAGCAGTGCAAGGCAGTGCAGGGACACATGAGAACAGAAAAGGGTAACTGCTCGCGTTGTAACTGCGATACCAAGCAAGGATCCTACTTAGAGGGAAGCAGGACACTGAAATTCACCCTTTGTTAAACAAGTTGATAACGCCTTTGTAACAGGAGAGACGAATACCAAGACGTATAGCTGGAATGAATATCGTATGGTATTCAATTAATATCTCCAATTTATTTTACAAACAAATTGTGAGTTCATTTATTCGGTCCGATACGCTGAAAAAATATTTTACATATAACTTATCTTTATAGACGTCTTTTTTTCTACGTGGCCCCATTCAAAGAAGTTTTGCAATCCTGGACTACGAGAGTAAAAATAGTTTTACGAACTCTCATCTGATAATTTTTTATAGGAATTAACTTCACTTACCGGTCTCACAATTTCAATAATTCGATGGAAGTGCAACGAAGAACTTCACCTCTTTCCCTCGCAGATTTTCGCGGTTGTGAGGAAGGAAAAATACACCGCTTGACGCCGCTGTTAATAAAGTTCTTTCGACAAGACAAGACGCCCTGAATCTTTTATGCAACAAAACGAAGGTACTCTCAAGAATTTTGAACTGTTTCATTTTGATAAGGAAAACAAACAACACCAAACTGATCAATTAGCTTTAAATTGTGTTAAAGGACAACTGTATACAACTGACAATCAAGCTTCACATTCCACATAGCTTGAAGTAAAATATCAATGCTGAATAAGACAGCAACAAACCATCTCACGGTTACCCGTCAAAAGACCCCACTCTAGATAGTCTGGCCATTAAATATTACCGAAAACTCCTAATAACGATTTTCAACTATTCAGAAAATGTATACAACGATGTTAACTGTCGCGTTGCCTAACGCCGAACCGGTAATCGGCCATTCAATTCATTCAACCAGTGAAGCATATGATCCAATCGTGGAATTAGCGGCATTTAGCAGATCGCAATTTCGAATTTTACTCGTCCGGTTCATTTGTTGTGAATTCACACTTGTCTGGTCTGTAGTCAGTCTTCTAGTGACAACCCGTTTTCAATACCGCATACGACTTGCCACTTAGCCCATCTGATGCGATATTTCTAGCATGAAAAAAGTTACTATTTCACCTACATAAAATGTTTGTTACATTAGCATTTTACATACTACATTGATAACTATGTTGATACATTTTTAGGTAGCCATGTAAAAGTCAGCCTGTTTCGAATAAGATTTTATTTCTATGATATACGAAATATATTTTAAAGGATAGTTTATTATCAACGGGATATCTGATTTGAAATAGAAAAACGCCTCCACAGAAACGAATTATACTGAAATCTGCCACTGGGCAATTAAGTTTTCTCCCCAAATGTATTCTAGTGGTCGGAAATGAGAGAACCCATACAACTGACAACTTTTGGAATCTATGTGGATCAACGTCTAGTGATATATGAAGATGAAAAAGTAACTGAAAGCAAATAGTTGCTTCCCTACAATCTAGAAAAAGTAATGTGTTGGTAAGTGTTTCTCGAGCAACCCTAGAGGTGGAGTGGAAAGGGGTGACAGTTCAAACCAAAAAGAACGCAATCCGCGATGCTTTGCATGCTGTACATGATGCAGGTGGGAAGAGGGAGAGCAGATCGGGCAGGACGGGTGGGAATGGAAGAGCTGAGCGGGCGTGGCTGGAAGAACCTATACAAGAGCTTCCAACTTCCCCGCAAGAGTGTAGTTACGTTTGAGCAAATGGAATAAAATATACCCCTTTTCTATTATTACTCACGGAATAAGGGTATGTTGCCAAAAAAAGTTTTTTTTCGGATACTGTGTAATAAGAAATAAAAAAATGGGGTCATTTTAAAATCACACCATTATTTACTGCCATTAGAACATCTGGCGGTACAATTCGGTAGTTGGAATGAATTAGAGATCAGGGGAGGGGTAGCTAGAGTGGAAATTCTTTGAGCGCAATAGATCAATTATTACAGGTATAATAAATGCCTTCGTCCTCACAATCCGCACGTCAACGGGCTAATTGTTCAACCATGGGTCAATACGCCAGTTTTTCGAAGACCCCAACATCATGGTTAACTTCACGTTGCTTACTACAGAATAAACTTTTTTTTAACCGGTCTTAGTGCGATTTGATTGGGGGAAATTTTTACAATAAATAAATTCATGCAATGCACGAAAAGTAAATCCCGCAAGTGGATTTGGTTTACCACTGCGCCAGTGAAATAGGACCAAAGAGAAATTACGATCCAATTTATTTTAAATAATATTTGACGTAAAAATATACTAATAAAAGAAATTACGGCATTTTATTTTTAAGAAATACAAAGACTGCGATTATTTATTAAGGGAAGAGTTGCATTTCGTCCTGTCATTGTGGACGGGATGCCCCTAGAATGCAATAATAGTACTTTATGAAAGATTATGAAATGTTGGGTTTTCATACACGAGTGTGATATTACAATGCGAGCGAGGAACTAGCAAGTACTGTGAACTCCACACGAGTGTATTAATACCCATTACATCGAGTTTCATACGGTAATTTTACTATGACTTATGGTAACTGGTCTTATTCAAAGTCAAAACTTTCTATTGAATTGTTTCGTGGCAGTTGATATGCAGGATTCAGCCAAGACCACCTAGGGGCTACCCTAACTTCCCGCAGGTGGTTTTGGTTTACCACTGCGCTAGTGAAATAGGACCAAAGAGAAATTACGATCCAATTTATTTTAAATAATATTAGACGTAAAAATATAATAATAAAAGAAATTAAAAGTAAGCATAATATATTAAGCATAAGCATATTAAATGCAATTTTTGTGTAAACTGCTCCCTGATTGGTGAAGAACCTGTATCATAATGAAATCTGTCCCGTAATGTGTATCATTACGCAACGGGTTGCAGCCATCAAAGCATAAAACGGCAGTAGAAAAAAAACAAAAAAGGTGGCGGGTTGGCGTGAATGAGCACTCACCTCGGTGGCATCGCTCCGCGACGTGAGCACCTCCGACGACAGCTGCTTGAGCGTCTGGGTGAGGTTGCGCGACGCCTCCGCGAGAGCGCGCGTGTCCAGCATGGGCTTGGCGGCGGGCGTCTCGCACTTGCAGCCGGAGCCACCGTTGCCGTAGCCGCACGCGTGCGTCGTCGAAGCACCTGCCGCCGCCGCCGCCGTCGTCGTAGACGCTGACGAGGGCGACGCCGAGGGAGACGGTGTAGGCGGCGACGACGGCGGCGTAGACGTCGACGGCTGTGCTGTGTGGAACGAAGACGACGGCGACGATGACGACGAGGGACACGACAGCGACGACGAGGTGGAGGCGACGGTGGCGGCGGAGGTGGAGGATGAGGAGGAGGAGGAGGTAAACGACGGCGACGAGGTGGAGGCGGCGGTGGGGCAATCGGTCGAAGATGTCACCTTGGGAAGGAAACTGGCGGCCTCCTCCAAGAACTTGAGGGGGGACGGGTGCGGCGACGCCGCCGCGGCGGCGGGGCACGGGGCGGGCGAGGCGGATTGGTGGACGCTC